AATGATCAAACTGCACACAGAATGTGTAATCCGGCTCTGAATTACCCTGGTGTGTGTTTCTCATTGGATACAGCCGTCTCAAAATCCGGTTTTTCAAGAACTGACTCATCTGCGAGGGACTTTCTTTGTAAAGAGCAGACTCGAGTCACTCGACCCGTTGCCACATTCCTCACGTTCTTATGCAGACCGGTTCAGACCACCTCCCCTCGCGTTTCACCTTCAACCAATGACCGCTCTCCACGCGTGCTTCACCGGATGTCCGCCAAATCACGATTCTCAAGATTCAGTGAATCATCCGGGGTGGTGGCGCACGCCTGTGGATGGCAGCGAGGGTTGGCGAATACCCCTTCCCATTAGGCGGCGAAGAGGTGCCATACCCCGGCTCGCTTGGAGAAAGCCAATACAGCGTGGTCCAGATGTCTTGTTAACCACATTTAATTATTTTAAACTTAATTTATTTTTAAAAGTAAGGTTGATCTAAAACAGAAATGAATATGCAAAGGAAACAAATGTTAGGGGTCAATTAATTGGGGGAGGGGGGGCGTCACAACATATCTGGACCGCCCTGTACAGCACCTCTGATTGTTATGGTGCGTAAGAAGTTCGATATACAGCAACAAATGTGGACTCGGCATGTTCCGTGTCTATGGGATAGAGTGTTGCCCCCTCGCGCGTGTGTTGTTTGTCCAGGTGCTCCGGTTTCCTCCCGCATGTAAACACTCATTGTTGGCACCACCTCACCGCGTCTGTGGTTCATTGCGCTTCCGAGTCATCTCTCATCCACAGTGAGCAGATCATGTGTGCTGTACATGTTGATATTGTTATAAAGCACCGTGACAACACAAATTGCATGCAATACATTTAAATTTACAGCTTCACCACACCGGATACACCTGGACATTGTATTAATCGGCTGTGTAGGGTGGAGGAGTTTATTTACGCGATCTGACCCAAACTATCAATTATCAACCGTATCCCAGTAGGCTCAAAGCGCTAATACCATGTCACAGTATACTGCACCGGCACTGCCAAGATACTGGCTTTATTCAAATCTGAGTTTCATCCGCCTGTGATTAAACTAGGTTCTTATACAAGTATATAGAGTGAGCTGATTACCTTGGCCCGGTCATCAATAGCTTGGAACGAAAGGGAAACGTGTTGCTGCTGATTTACCGTGATATGTAACACGATAACTAATGAGACAATGAGCCTCCTTCCAGTGGTGACCATAGGTAGCCACAAGGGTCGCTGCGTGGGCCACTAGAAATAGCTCTCCCCAGAGCTGTGGGAATACGTATGTACAGACGTAGCCAACCGTGATAATTATCGGAGGCGAGGAGAAAGGACAACAATCTAAACACAAAAAGCAGTTCTAGGGAAGTGAGTTTTTTAAAATGTAGATGGAAAAGTGCATAGCTCCAGTGGCTTCCTAATATCGGAATGAAGAGCGTTCCAGACGGCCGCAGAAGCGCATCTGAAGGCGCGAGATGCAGTGCTTGGGATTCGAGTCAAATGTTCCCTCTCATTCTGATTGTGTGCTGCATGGCTGCAGTGTTGAGTTTGGTGACTTGAAGGTGGGAACGTAACAACTTCCCATATGTCTCTTCACATACAAATAATACCGTGCAAGTATATTTTACACGACACATCGGCCACTCGGCCTTCTGGAAGGGCCTAATTTTAGCAGCATTGAATCAACACCAACAAACTCTCGACTGGTTTTGACATTCAATGCCTCATCAGCGCTGCTGTCAGGCTTGCTTGAACCTAGCTTACACTTTGGTAAGGCTGCCGTGACATCATTTTTCATCATACAAGCAGAAGGTTGATGAAATATAATGGGATTTACCAGACCACATTCACCAGCATGGTGAAGTATGGTCCAACAATCATCATGACCGGCACGGCTTGAGCAGGCCTTCATCTGGACATCTGTGAAACTACTGAATATCTGTGAGAAAAAATGCTTTGTATCTCCAGTATAAATAGAGATTCTGATTTTGATCTAATAACAGATTGATGACGTCCGCAACTGCATTCTGAAAGGTAGTGTGACGAAAATATATGTGGAATTCTAGGAATTTGGTGGGTATGGCTGTAAAGAAGAAGTTGGCCAAGCTGACGGAGGCAAGTGGCTGGCAGCCCATCATGTGTCCTGCGTGAAGCCTCTTAGAAATGCGGTGGCTTTAATTGCCGTGCCGTGCAACCCGCTTTTGCTGCTGGGGAGAAAATTCTCTTCTGACCTCAAATGCAGGCGTCATGCCCTACCAAGTGGGCGCCACGATGGCGAGATGTGAACTACCTCGCCCCTTATACAGGAGGTCGTGGTTCGACCTGACGCCTGTAGAGTTGGGGTTTGCATGTTTCTCTCCCATTTATTGTGAAAATTCCGTCACAGTTCCTATGATAACTGTTTCATTGCTTTCATGGCTTTATTTTGGTGATTTCGAAAAGTATATTGGTTTAGCCATGTTTGTTTGTTGTAGTACAGAGTTAGACTGATGACCTTAATCTAAATTGTCTTGTGGTTGCTGTTGGTTGTTTAACTTGCATCCCACTGGGATTTTTGCACACAGCGTTGGTGTACGGTGATTTTTTTCTGCAATGTTTTGCTGTCTTTTCTTGGATTTCTGTTTGCACTCAGTCACATATTCACTTTAAGATGTTTTTTGTTCATGTTTTTGTTTTTTGTTTGTTGCGGTTGCACCCGATTCAAGAGCCGAGTGGCTCACAGGGCTATACCAAATAAATGAACTTGAACTCCCCGTAGTCGCGTGGATTTTTCGCCGTTTCCCCCTCCTCCAAATTTAGAATCAAAGTTCGTATCGAGCATTTGACTGCTGTAAATCTACACTTGATAAGCCACTTCGTTGTGCAGTGGAGGTCTTCCCTGGTCAAATAAAATAAAAGTTTAAGTGGCTCGCTTCCCTCCTGCCGCCTTGTGGCAGCCGGCGGGAGGCTGGGTCAGTCGCTGTTACCTCCCAAAGGGTTCGGCGTTCATGGCAACAATGTAGGCGTCGTAAAAAAATGTCGTACACAAGTTGTTGTGCTCTGTTGCACACATACAGTCGCGCCTCTTGGGGGCCGTCCATAAATGACGTCACGCGATTTTGGACGATTTTTGACCCCCCCCCCCCCTCGTCGCACGGCGTCACAAAAAGTCAGACCTCCCCTCAAATATGACGTCACAAAGCTCTGCCCCCCCCCCCCCCAAAAAAAAATAAAACATGCTTTAAATCTCTTTAAACTATTGTCATTGTAGTGCGTATTTAATGTGCCGCTGCACTTTGATGTTGTAGGAGAAAACATTTATTAAAGTATATTTAATTAAGTAGAACGTGTTGTCTATATTTATTTAAAGTTGCGCATTTTGATGTGACGTCACATTTCTCACCCCCCCCCCCTCGTCACACATCGTAACAAATGTCTGACCCCCCCCCCCTAGGTGCGTGACGTCATTTATGGACGGCCCTTTGTCAAATGTAACTGCTGGATGAGGGGCCTCCCAAACGCCGTGCGGGTCGTAGGGGTTATCTGACTAAACTTTAGCGGGGCTGGTCAATACCCTCAGTTTTCCCACAGCAAAGAGCTTTATAGATCATCGGATTCCTCCAGCATAAATACATATTCTGATTGATGCCCCCCCCCCCATCTAGCCAGGCGTAAACCTGCTTAGCTTGCTAGCTCTGAGGACTTAATTCGGTGAAATGAGTGTTTTGATTAATTTTGAGATCGGGTATAAAATACACACTGTATTTAAAATCTTACAAAAGTATTCATAAAACTATGGGATCTAAACTCTATCACCGTCATCGTCATCATCATCACGTTCCTGTGATGTTAAAATCGCCCCTGACCGCACAGGAATTTATTTAATCGCTCCATCACTAGTAGCGTGTGGTTAATGCAGACAGGATTCATGAAGAAAAGGTTTCTATTTGGTACTCTTAGGTTTTTTTCGGTAAAGTCACGTAGGTGAAAAATAATAAAATAATAATAAATGAAAATAATTAAATTAAATAATAATAAATACAAATAAATCACTTAAATAAATCAATAAAAAAAGTATTTTCATTTATTATTATTTTATTTTATAATTTTTTACCTATGTGACTTTACCGAAAAAACCTCAGAGTATGAATCCTTGCAGTCACGAAAGCTTCAAATCTAGAATTTCGATTTAGTGTTTGAACATCTTAACACAACTCCTGTTTTATTGCCAGAAAGGGTAAAACATATTCTGAAATAAAAGTACATTCATTATTATTCATAATAATCAATATTATTTCGATTTTAAGCTTTCGTGACTGCGGGGATTCATATTCTTGGTTCTTTCGGTAAAGTCACGTAGAAGGGAAAAAATAAAATAAAAAATAAATACATAAAATGATCACGACGTTTCGATTGCAACACAAGCAATCATCATCAGGTGTGAAAACCACAGCAAGAAATTTTGAAAAAAGTGGCGTTTTTTTTAGTAATATTATTATTATTTTTGGGTCTTTCGGTAAAGTCACGTACAAGAAAAAAATATATAAAAATTTAATTCTCACGACGTTTCGATTGCAACACACGCAATCATCACCAGGTGTGAAAACCACAGCAAGACATTTTTTTAAAAGTGGCGTTTTTTTGGAAAATTATTATTCTTGGTTCTCTCGATAAAGTCACGTAGAAAAAAAACAATTCTCACGACGTTTCGATTGCGACACAAGCAATCATCATCAGATGTGAAAACAACAGCAAGAAATTTAAAAATGTGACGTTTTTTTTGTAATATTATTATTTGATTTAAAGCTTTCATGACTGCAGGGATTCATATTCTTCGCTCTTTCAGTAAAGTCACGTAGAAGGGAAATAATAAAATAAAACAAATATTAAACAATTAAAAAAATATTATTTCCTTTCTACGCGACTTTACCGAAAGAACCAATAATATAATAATAATATTATTTAACACAGCCGGTAACCATAACAACTCGTCGATGCGTTGCTATGCGAGGTTTCCCCCCCTCTGACCTGGCATAGCGGGGTCGCAGCGGGCGTTGGCGCGGGAAACACAAACACACGCGCGCAACATTGACTCTACAACAACACTTTAGCACACTCGCGACTGAATGTTCGCATGAACACAACGCTCGGGGCATGGCTGCAGCTCAGTACAGGTGCGTGTTAACGTTATCGTCGGTCACAATCATCCGTCGTCGTTCGTGAAGACAACCACCGCTGGACGGAGGCCTACCTAGCGCTCGTTGTTGCGTTGGTTCGCAGTGGTTTTTGTTTGAACTTCAACAACGCGGGGTTGTTTTAAGGGGACTGCTCTCAGTTGTTCTCACTCGCCACCGATGTTAGCCGCGACTGGGGAAGCGAACTCATTAAAAGTCGCCGGTTACATAGCGCGCCTTGGCGCTAACCACTGCGCCACCGCTCTCTACCGCCGCCGGTTCATAGAAATGTTTTGTGGTAATTGCCATTAAAGTTACTTTCACATGAATATGTTAATGATCTCACTTGAACAGATAACATAAAACTCAACTTATAAGTGATTAAACACTGTGGGCTCAAACGGTAAAGTGTGTAGAGGAGTAAAATGGTCCTCAACAAGTGTATAAGAGGCGACGTTTCGGGCAATGGTCCTCCAGCCCAGCACACAAATAGGCCAGAGAGGTGGAGTGGATAAGAGTCGGGAGAGGAAGTTTCGCAGTTGTCTTCAAAATCAAACAAAAATATTTTTTAAGTCTCTTAATCACTCAATCACTCTGGCCTCGGTGTGCTATGAAGAAGGGCCGTTGCCTGAAACGTCACGTTTAAAATATTTTATTTTAAGGCCATTGTTATTGACGGACGTGTTGAGTTTGTTTTTATTAATATTAGTGCTTGTGCACTACTGGCAACGCAGAATCACCAAATTACCCACTTTCATAGAGATATATTGAGCATGAAGTACTACATACTTCCATAGAGGTACTGGGAGGTCACCTTCATTCTTTAGAATGGAGCTCTAATTGTGAGTTCAGCTTTTACCCAATGTTCAAAGTATGTCGATTAAGTATATCAATGAAGCAAACAACTATGTCACATGGGAAATAAGTGACATCTGAAAAATATACAAACAAATCATTGTTAAGTAAGACATTGTGTTACAAGTTAGCACGGGCAGATTCATTTTTATTGGTAGATGGTGGTGTTTGTATTTTTTGGTGCAGTGACCCAGTGTTCTCAACCAAAGGAAGCCCATTTGTTGAGCCCCGCTCACCACTGGGCCACTACCACCCGTCTCCTGGCAAGACTCTAACCCAGCGTGCCAGGCACACGGTGAGCTCGGGCGTTCGAGACCTCCGACATCCTTTGCCATTGCTCTGCCCACCATCCTCAGCATTTTATATTTCTTGCATCCTTCCTTGCCATTTGAACTTTTGAAAATAATTTATTTTTCTGCAAATTTTAGCCCAACTGTTCTTTAAGCTTCGTCTATTATAGTTTAGGGAAATAGTTACTTTTCTATTCATTAAGGCTTATCAGCCAGGGGTTTACATGAGATAATTTCAAAATGTTTGTATCAGAACTGGACTATCTGCATAAGGTTGTGAGATGCAGAATCCATTCAGAGCAGTGCCTCCCATCGTGTTAAAGAACGGACATCGGAGGTGGCTGTCACAGTCTGAACCCTGAGAACCATTCAAGTGACCTCTGGTTCACATCATACTGCCATTTTAAACCTGCACATACTTTGAACATATATAAAGCTTAATTTTAAGTTGTATTTCAAATCCGTTTATTGCTGAAGTATAGACTCGTAATATTTGTTGTGAATTAAGTTTTTATTTATTTTGCTGTATATTTGGTGTGTTTTGCATTTGCTTTGTCAACCAGGTCTCCTTGAACTTTGATCAATGTGCTTTCACATGTTTTAAAATAAAGTTATTTTTCCTGTCTACCTAGTCTCTGAGTCCAGTGCGGCTGCAGTCTTTGAGTCCGAAGGCTGGGTTTCATGCCAGTGGTTCCCAAGCCCAGAAGCCCGGTGCCCGCCAAGACGAACGGCAAAACGAACGTGTCAAGGCGCAGGTAAATGATTGCCTAATGTACTGCAGTACGGTATTTGCATTATACATCACACTGCAATGCATTGTCCTGCTGTACAATAGAATATTTATGAAGAATGCAAGAAACCTTGGAGCTGTCACTGATCCAAAGCTCTTGTTCTCTTTCGACATATCTAAACTCGGTTTGACTCCACACCTCTATTTGCGGAACTCCTGACCTCAGCAGCCACTGAGGCCCCCATCCCTGCGTTCATGACATCCTGACTCGATTATCACAACTCTCTCTTCTACAGTCTTTCCAAATCCCTCATTACCCAATCCTGCATCACCAAACTCCAGATGTACCAAAAATTTCACTGCCAGATTCCTCACCAACCACACGAGCAAATGAGACCACATTTCCTCAATACTCCAATCCCTCCACTGGCTCCCAATCTAATCCCAAATCAATTTCAAGATCTCACCATCTTCAGGATGAACTCTCCTCTATCTATCTGTCCCTCCCAGTCTCACTATCCTCTCTACATACCCTCCACTACAGTAACCTATCGTCTTTAATAGTTGGGAACTCCCAGTCCCTGTTTCATTCCAGGCTCAACACTTGACATTGTCTTCTGTCTGTGACTGCCTCTGATATAAATACGCCATCTGTATCTGTACATTGTCCTGAGATGCGATCGCAAACAGATACTACATTGACATGGTATTTTACTGCCATTTAATGCATTGCAACAAGAAATACACTTTCATCATCAATAAGTCATCATCATTCATACATTAATTATTGCCCTATTGCAGCATGCGTCACAATGACAGGGCAGTGGCTCTGTAACTGTACACTCCCTGTGCTTTGCGTCATCATAAGGTGGCGGTCCGGACGGCGAACTCCCAGCCTGACCCCGACTCCTCGGACCCCTTCGACGAATCGTGGCCATCAACCGAGCAGAGCTCGGCTCGCACGCCTGAGGCTGTGGAGGGGGAAGCAGGGCTGGAACCTGTGCCCCCCACAAGGGAGCCTGTCATTGCGAGGTTCGGATTCTGATGACGGTGGGGCTGACTCCTCGACACGAATTGAGCTTTCGGATAACGTATTTCTTTGTGGCAGTGGTTGGGCACTGATCCAGCCAAACCAGAATCGGAATCAGAATCTTTATTTATCCTGGAGGAATCCGATGAGCTATCGAGCTCTTTTTGTCCAGTAAGGGGGGGGGGGGGTTATAACCGACCACCCCGAGTTTTTGCGCTACGCGTGTGAATATATACTTCCGTGCAATTTAATGAACTATCAAAATGGAGGCTCATGGCTCGATTTGAGAATATTCTTTGTAAGATTTGAGCGATTTTTGTTTGTATTGGTCATGAGGTTTTTTTTAAGTGTCATTTGTCCTTTTTTTGTTAATTCCACAAGCACAAACAATCACTATCACCTTTGGGTTATCCAATAACAAAATAAAAAATACGTGCGTGCCAGCCGAGTATAAAGAGATCCTCACAGTGACGGAAGTGACTGAGCGTGCTCATATTAAATAATGTTGGCAGGCCACACATATTCCCCTCTGGTACCCAATTAGTACAGCTCGGATGCTTGCAGTGATGGATAAATATAATTTTGGTGAGCCATTTAAAAGTAATATGCCTTGTGTTGGTGTTGGTCTTATGACATTAGGTCGTGAGTTATATTTAAACTATACTAAACTAAACTTTTTATTTCATCAGATAAGGCCCACTGAGCTATATAGCTCTTTTTCAGAAGTGACCTGGCCACAAATGATAGCTCAACGAAGTGGCTTATCACGTATCCAAATACTCTAAACGCACATTGATTCTAAATGTGGAGAGGAAAACCAGAGGGCCCGGAGAAAAGTCCACGTGACCACGAGGAAAGAGACATGCAAACTCCAAGTATACAGTAGTCAGGATTAGGATCGAACCCACGACCTATATACCAGCCGAGGTAGTTAACATCTGACTTGCGGTCAGTAGGTTCCCTAGCCCTGGCCTAGGTACGTGTCTGCAAGGTTAAGAGCTTTTCGCGTTGTCTCCTCCGTCGTGCAGGTTTGTTGAGCGGTTCCGTCACGGCCGCCCCACGAGCCGAGCGGAGCGCGAGGCGGCCGAGCGTGCGGGGGGCGGCTCGTTTTGGTGGCTCCAGGACCCGGCGACCAAAGCCACAGCACGCGCGGCGGATCAGCTCGACTCCGGTAATGTGAATGCTTTGTCATCATTATCATCCTGAGAATTTTTTACGACCGTCATTTTGTCACCATTGACAGCATCATTGTTATCATCATCATCTTTGTGATCTTTCCTGTGGTTATCGTGATCATCATCATGGTCATTATTATGACTGTAATTTGTCATTATGACCGTACTGACATCTTTGTCATCATATTAAATCATGTGATGATGACATCATATCACGAAGGCCCGCAAGCCATATTTATCCATCACCACAAATATCGCTCCAATTTTAGCCCCCGTGCTCAGTCAATGATTTCACTGCAAGGGCCTCTTGCAGTTACAGAAGTGACTGAGGCATATGTTAATGTATGGCCCTGCCAACGGTATTTGAAAAGGTCTCTCACCTCTGTTTTGCACCAACAAACGCCATCCATGGGAAAGGTCATCCCCGCATCTTACCAATATTTTCAGACTTTTTTCTCTAAATTAGAACTACGCGTCTGCCGTGCCATTTACGATGTTCGCAGGTCGTTCACAGCCGAGGTCACCACGGAGGTCATCCAGCGAGCGGTCCTTGGGTCAAAGGTCATCCGGCAGGTCGGGTCCCAGCCCTGCTTGCTCTTCGTTAGAAGGGATGAGACAACATCACAATTCGGACACGGTGAGGAGTTATTTTGTTCCTTGATCTCTGGTCATTATGAATGTGTTCAAAATATATTATAACTTTCAAAAATGCTGACAAGGTATTATATTTTCATTTGTGTTTCATTTGCATGAATCGTAAATATTAATTTCTTATCCATATTATTACATTAATCTATTGTGAGAGTAGGACTCTATTTTAATCTGATGAATAATTTATATGTGATACCAACCCTCACCGACAGTTGATTGTTTTTCTATCATATCAAATGCCGCATAAAATGGTACGCACTGGAGTATGAACCCGGTGACCTGAGTTTGATTCCCTGGCATCGCTAACATCAGTGGCGAATGATATCTGAACTGATATGGGGCCACCCACCCTTTCACCAACCCACACCAGTTGGTGTGGGTTGGTGAAGAGGGTGGAAGCCTTCATCCAGCCCTGGATTGATTTCACGGCTGTGTGTCACATTAAAGGAAGTCTTGAGATATGATATACCCGTTATGGACCATACCCTCATAACGGCATGGGTAGAGGTGCCTCTTATCTTCCAGAGTTTTCAGAAAGATGCAAAATTATACTATTTCATTATGGCCAGCCTGCTGTCATCAGGTTACTGACTAAAAATTATGTGGTGTGTTTTTGAATGTGTATATGAATGTGTTTGTGTGTTTGTCTCTCTGTTTGTGTCTATATGTACATATGACAATTCAGCCTCAAATGAGTACCTGGTGCGTTGTGTAAACATGATCACTGGGAGACAAAGGCGATCGGGAGTGGTGCTGGCCACCACCCACCCCCTTGTGTACCGTGCCGGCTTTCATAGGTGGTCACGAACAGCACTTGCCCCAACAGTTTGTTCAAGCTATACGGGGGGGAATATTTGTCTGTATATGTATGCCTGTGGTTTTTGTGTGCTGTTCCAGCTTGTGCCTGGGACTCGTCATCCTCGTTGTAGGTGCTGGGCCCCGGTCGCTACGTCCTCGGCTGTGTCGCGGTGTCGCTGTCTCCTCGCGCGTTCCCCTGACTCTCCTCACCCCCTCCTTTATATCCCAACCTACAATTTTTCATGACGTTGTAAAGCGTCTCGAGATGCGATGGCATTGAGATGATAATAAATGTGTTGAAATTGTTGCTGCTGCTGTTATGGCATGTGTTCTGTTCTTGTCTCTCGGGGCCAAAGGAGGGCGATGGGGATTTGTCCGTGAGCGGCCTCATGGATGCAGACACTCGCAGTCTTCAGGAGCGAGCGAGCCAGCTCCTGGAGAGAAGGTAAACTGTGGCAGGGTTCGACCCAGCTGATAAGCAGCTGCTTAAAAATAACAACAATACGAAGTGGCCAGCTGGCTTGAAGGTCAAGGCCAAGCTGGCACCGCTGAGATCCTGCGTTAGAATCCAGGCAGCTGTCTGTGATTAAACCGGATTCTCAAGTGTCTCTCAGTCTCTCACTTCCTCGGTCTCTTACTCGCTATCCCGCTCACTCCGTTCCATGTCTCTCACTTTAACTCGTTCCATGTCTCTCATTTTCACTTTTTTATTGCTCTCTTACTCTCTTAGTTGCTCTCTCACCCCATCACTCGCTTCCTCTAACAACATTGCGCACTCAGCCATGTATAGCTCACTCTCTTTTGTTCATTTTCTTACTCTCTCCTTGTGTCACTCTCCCTTTCACTTTCTGCGTTCATTTATCACTAACTCCCTCTCTCACTCGCTCCCTCTCTCCTGCTTGCTCTGTCTGTCTCGATCCTTCCGCCAGTGAGAGCACGCTGAGCAGCCGTGCGGGCGCCGTCAGCTCGGCGGGGCTTGGGTCCGCACGCTCGTCGGAGCGAAACTTCACTGAGCCAGCACGTCCGCCGTGGGGCCACCTCGATCTCCTCCTGCCTGGTACCGGTGGTGGGGTCGCACTGTGGGGTCACGCTGTGGGGTCACATTGTGGGGTCACTGTGATATCTTCAATGTGTAATCACATGATGCGATCCGGTCCCACAGGGAGCACGACCCCCCTCGTCTCGGCGCAACCAACGCTGACGACGCCACTCCCGCCTGGCGCAGGCAGAGGAACGACCCCAGCGGACGACATCTTGTACCAGTGGCGTCTGCGGCGCAGGATGGAAGAGGCGAGGGAGTTTGGGACGAAAGCAGCGCACGACGCGCGAGCGGTGCCCTCCAGCGATCGGGAACTCCCACGACCCACTCCCTGGCAGCTGCCACAGGCAAGCGTGTGTCTGTGTCTCTGCCAGTGGAGTAGCGATTGAGTCCGCAGGCAGTGCACCTTTTTGTGTTTAGTTTGTTGTTCTTCCCCCGCACCCTCTGATTCACACGGTTGGCTATGTACGGTGCGAAAGAAGTTCAACATACATACGTACATACCATTTCCCATGGGACGGAGGGGGCCTCATTTCATTCTTTGCGCACGAGGCCCCATGCTAGTGATTGCTTTGTGAGGTGCCCAGTTTGGCAGGCATAGCAGAATAGGGTTAGCAACTCGAAAGTTCCAGAATAGAACGAGGTAGCAAAGCGTTGTACATGTTCGTGTGGGATGGAAAGAGGGGACAGATCGCCAAGCCAGGTATTGCAGTCGCACCCAGAGGCTGACAACCAAGTGGATGACCTCAAACCAGATGGTGGTAGTAGTGGTAAAATGAGACCTTGATGGACGTGTAGACTGTGTCACAATGGAAATACGAAACAACTACTTAAATATTTAATGCAGCCATAACGTAAAAAAAAACTCCCGGAGTGCACAAATACAAAAGAAGAGATGAGGGAGCAATCAATGGAAGGAGAGAAAGGGAGTAATTAAAGGGGACTCGAGGCATGGGGTGGAAGAGGAAGAGTTTGAGGAAAGACTTGAAAGCAGAGAAAGAGGGAGACCCGCTTAGGAGTTGCCTGGGAAGGAGTTCCAAAGGCCATGTCCTCCAAAGCACTGGGTCTCCGGCGTGCAGTATCACCGTGAAGTTTCATACACGTTATTTAACAAACGTGTTCATTCTCCTTTGCTTGGGTGTTTCGCAGGCTAACGCGGGGGTTCTTTTTACCGCGGAAGATACGGGGAGGCACCCACCAAACGCCCCTGCCCGCTTCGAGGTGCCCATCGCCAGCCCCCACATCAGGCTCGCCCCCACATCGGACACACTAGGAGGCCCCAAAGACTCCATGGTCGTCACGCCACACCTCCACCTGTCGTGCGACGTGCTGCCCTGCCCCCACGCCCCCCTTGTCCATCACGAGATCCGGGACGAGCATCGCCCCTCGCGCCCGGTCAGAGTCGCTCCTCACGGAAGCAACGGGGGAAAGGAGGAGAGTCGCAGCGAGATCAGACCTCGGAGTTTGGCCGGCGCGACCGAGCGGAGTGGAACAACGGGCCGGCCGAAGACTTCCAAGATCGCGAGCCGCCCGTCCGAAACCAAAGCCGCGTACGGTGACGACGATCGGGAACGTCGGGGCGGCGATGGCGACCGTCGTCACGGCGCCTCGGGTCTCGACGTGACGAGCGATCGGCGGAGCAGAAGTCGCACCGGGCCCGCAGAGAAGTCGTCGTCCCCGCCGGCGTCGAGCACAGACCGAGGTAGCGCTGACAGGGCGGCGAAACCCGGCAGGGAACGGCACGAGAGGAGACGGAGCGGGGAGGACGCCGGTGGCGTCGAGAGGAGGGGGGAGGTGCGACCCGAGCGAGCCAGAAACGGGAAAAAGAGGAGGGAAGGAGGAGGCGGAGCGCTGCACGGTTCGGCACGGAGCGACGAGTCTCCGTTGAGCAGCGCTGTTGGCTTGGTGAGAACTTTGTCCAAGTAGACATTAACAGCGACTGACTAACGTCGGTGTGTTCCGTCGGTTATTTTGTGTATAAATGCACACGAGAGAGTAAGATAGATTAAATTATTTTTTTTACGTATAAATATACTGTGCAAAGTTATATCGGCATCATGAGAGAGATCCACTTGTAAATATCCCACTAATATCAGGAGAAAGATAACAAAAATGTTGATTTCAAAGCCTCTGCATGTCTTCCACCAATTTCCACGCACTTGTTGAACCTTCTAACCATCTCCTGACACGCTCTAGCGTAGCCGCGGTGATTTGCTCACAACATTCACCGGTGTGCAAGCCGAGGTCATCGGCACCTCACGGTTGTTTTCACATGTACACACGCGGTCTGTGACGTGACCCCACGAGAGAACACCCAGTGGAGTCATGTTGGGGTGGGGTATGTGGCACACAATTGCTCCACCTTGTAACCCATCGCCTACTGCGCAAGGCCGGGGTCATTAGAAATTAGTGTATCTATACACGGATCACCATATATACATCAGATTTTTTTTCATTCTGGCAAATATAAGTCTGGTAATATGTTTGTCAGGCACATGCTGATTCTCCGTATTAAAGATATCTGTGAACTCATTGTGATGATAATCGTGATTATTGTAGGTCCTCGACGAACGACTCTTCATGCCCGCCGAGTTGAAACGATCCGAGACAAACGAGGTGAGTTCATCGTTCTCTCGGTCATTACAGATCCTAGTTTAACCAGGCGGTGGTGGTTAGGCACGTCTGTAATCCGGCACTGGAGGCGAGGGTCGGCAGTACAGCAAAAAATAAACACTCCACCTGTTCCATCTATATGGGATAAAGTGTGTCCACCTTTGCATGCTTGGGTTTTCTACGGATGCTCTGGTTTCCTCCCACATGCATAAACACATTAATTGGCTGATAACACCTCGGTATATAGAGGACTGGAGAACTTGGGCAATTGCTGGTGCCGGCTCACCCGCCTGGCTACCTTCGTCTGTAGTTTCTTGTGCCTCTTGCGTCGCCCTTTCTCTACGAGAGCGAATGAACACTGCGGCTTGTTACCAGTTGAAATGATTATTGTTATGAATAATTTATATTGTTATGGCAGCCTACGTGTTAAATGCATTGTTATGACTGATACCTGGAAGGATGTGAATCGTTGCATTCCTACTGGTAACTTATACTTTATTACCAGTAAAAAACAAATGTGTCAGTTTTGTTGCCAGATAAAAGTGTAAAAAATCAATTATCATATTTTGCTACTGGCAAAGGAGGTTCCAATGATACTTTGAGAAGTCTCAGGATTACATTTGTGACATCGCTTCTCATTCCAGCCGCGGCCTGGTCGAGACCAGGGAGGTGCGCCGCGGGGCGCCGTCGCGACGTCGCGTCCTCGCTCCCCTCCGTCGGCCCAACCGGGACTCCCGAGTGCTGTGCTGCGTCTCCTAGAGCAGGCGGAGGGTGAGCGTCAGAGGTCGCAAACGGGTTTTGATTCCTTACCCGTACCCGGCCGCACCAGGGTCGCAAACGGGTACCCGTACCCGTACCCGCCGTACCCGTACCCTACCCGTACCCGGCCGGGTAGGGTACGGGTATCGGGTACCCGATTGCGACCTCTGGAATGAAGCCATGTTGCAGGCGCGGGTGGGTTGATTCTAGGAACTTAAATTGTGAGAAGAGGCAAGACGTTGGGAAACGAGTGACAAACAGTTACTCACTGGTGACTCGCGGGCTACCCGTACCCGTACCCTGCCGCACCAGGGTCGCAAATGGGTACCCGGGTATCGGGTACCCGGTTGCGACCTCTGGTGAGCGTCCTCACTCGACGTGGTCACTGCATCGCTACGGAGACGCCGCCGCCCCTCTCTCGTACGCGACAGTAGAGCCTGGAACAGTTGGTCAATCAGCTTGTGGTTAATTGGCTAAAAGTTGTAATCGACTACTTTCGTTTTGGTCGATTACACGAGCCTCTTTGAAAATTGCGGCCCTCCCGATATTCTGCCTCCTGAAGGTAGGAACCCACCCCCCCCCCCCCCACCATACAAGCCATGCCCAGAGTAAAGCGGTTGATAGTGACGATCACGTCGCCAGACTTAGTGTCGACTAATGTGTGACCAGCCAAAGGTATTTAAACATCCTATTCGGTCGTGTTTTGCAATTTAATTTGCTTCGCTGTGCAGGGTGGTGGAGGGTTTCACGATGATCACGTGGCCTAACCGAACAATTAGTCATGAATTGTAATATTGTGTTTGCGAAAACCTGCCTGTCCAGTTAAATCGTTTTTGTTTTGTACGCACGTGTCCGTGATTCCTCTTCTTAAGATTCAGATGGAGTGGATTTCCCAGACGATCCCCTGCTGAAGCTACTAAGAGAGCAGAGAAACCGGGTCCGAGATCGCCTGTGGTGAGTGCCCATGATGCAGACAGGTGTGACAGCTTTGAACTTGACAGCCACGGCCGGCATTAAAGTCCTAGGACGCGACCAATTAAGCACACTACAAGTACATCTACAGCCCTTTTGTATATCCACTGCTGCAGGTGCTCGATTGATTGTTGACCGAGTGAAGGTGATGGCTTGGGGAAGCCTTCATCCATCAGTGGCTGGATCATGGGTGACGATGAATAGTTCTGCACAACCGCTCGTAGTTATTGTCGCCCCTGCTGGCTGCTAGGCACACAAATCGTGACAAGTTCCGCTTTAACTCGATTATCCATGGGTGGATTGTCTGACTTGTGAATTAAGCGTGCATGCGAAAGAATGTCTTTCCATTCACGCTGCTTTCATTAGTGGCTGCAGTGGCCCAGTGCCCATATGAAATGTTGTAAAGGTAATAGATTACCTTAATAGACTTATTTAATAATAAGAGAAAACCAATCTGTATGATGAATACACAGATATGCCAGCATTCTATGTCTTCACACCTTTCTATACAGGTAACCAACACATCTTTCTAGTCTAATGCGAATGTGCTGTGCATTACCCTTGTTTTATTGGGATAAATGAGAGCTAGCTAATAATGTTTCCGTTTTGTGAGTTTCACACTCTCCCTGTGCACTGTGTACTCTGGTCTGGCAGCGACACCACCCGCCTCATCTCCTCCCTGGAGCTCACGGAACATCCCTCCTGAGAATGAGGAAAATTCCGCTTGGGAATTCTCCCAGTGAATGAGCCGTCGTCAGCAGGATGGACAAGATCCAAGTCTTTTTTTACACTTTCCAGCGCAATATGAAAGCTTTGTGGGTCCACCCAGTCTGTTAAAAATTCGTACAAAATTATCCAACATGAACCAACCCATAATAGCAATGTGTGTTGCTATTAGAGACTCGCCAAATACAAATTCGGCCAACTCTATCAAAAGGTGGCCCAAACTGTTGGAGACAAACCAGAGAAAAAAGATAGAATCTGCAAATTCTCGCACGCATTTTGCCCTGAGAGATACCAGTCGGCTTCAAGACTGCTCATTAAATACTTGCAACGACAAACACTTGTTGGAAAGTGTAACGTTATCTACACATTTATAGTTTCCATTACTTGTTTGTATTGCGCAGTCTCAAGCTGTATAGTTGCTGTAAATGTATAATTTCCTGTGGTGGGTTTCATTCAGAGGTCAGTTTTCTTTTTTCTGTGAAGTTCATGTTTTGCCTTGTTTAATACCGCATCAATACGACAATAAAAAATATGTGAAATTACATATATTCACAAACGTGTACATAGATTTAGAAAATGTTAGCATCAGCTATCTTTCCAATGCCGTCATACTCTTGAGTATCGCGAAGGAGCAATCCATCTAGCTCATGGGTCAGCAATCAAAATAACAAGAAGATACATTTATTTCTATTTGGCTAAAAAAACTAAATATTTCAAGATTCGCAATGCATGTGAATACGAGATGGTGGTCCTTAATAAACATCACGAAACAGTCCGCGGTGAAGCCGCATGCGGCGCCGGAGCCGTAGGTTGCCGACCTCTGCCCATGGTGAACTGGACTTCCATGGTCAGGGGTCTGCAACCAAAATAACAAAAAGAGCCGCACTGCTGTCCTTAAAGAGCCACCGCATGCAGCTCCCGATCCACAGGTTGCCTACCCGTGGGTCTAGTTCCTGCACATGGGCTGGTTTCATTGCCCCATCTCCACGATGTATATGCCCTCTGACGTGTTCTCAGGATGGCCAGGCTTTGGTACCAGAAACAGAGTTTGCCAATTGTATATGTTGTACTCCGGTGCCGGATCGGAGCTGGGATCACTGTAATCTTATCAGAACATAGAGGCAGAGCTGACGTTCTGGAGCAGCTCTGCAATTGCCTTTGCTGTTACAAATAGATATATTAAATACCTGACCCAAGTTTGATTAGTTGATTTTGTAAAACAGCAAACACATTCCTGCGGAGGGAGCTGGTAGGAACGTTGGGTTGCTTGGTCAATGGCCAGGGTCAACGGCGGCGTGGTGTATTCCACAAATATGCCTGACTGAGGGTGGGCACACGCCGGTGTGAGTAGGTTAAACGTTGAGTTTTATAAGGGCACCACGGGGTGACCAGCCCCTACCCACCCCTCCTACCCCCCACCCAGCCCCACCCTCCCCACCCAGCCCCTCCCTGCACGACGAACACAATAATCCCGTGTGGGGTGGTGTAACCAGGAGGTTCTTACCAGTATAAGGACTGTATATGTCTGCACAAACCATTCAAAATATAAGTTCTAAATTGTTTACCCAAATAGATTAAGCAAAGTTACAAGACTTCATTGGCAGTGGCGCTTGAGCACAAAAAAACAACAGATTCTTTAACGCCGCTTAAACATTGCAAGAATACACCATGCAGTACTGTACTGCACTAATGAAATACAAGAATATCTTTCCTCAAATAGAAGTTGAAAAAATTATTCAATTTATTATTGGCGCTGGTACGGAGCCGAGCACACTTAGTTGAAAAGCAGACGAAAAGAGTTGGTGGGGCCCTTAAAGAGTCTCTTAAAAGTCGGTGCAGATTGAACGCTGCTGTGGATGTGCAGCAGATGGGAGCTACCACGGAGATACGATGCCTGGAAGCATCGGTCCTGGTCCTTCGTATAGGCAGCAGCTTGTGAATCGCGTCGCCAAATTTCCTGATGATGCTGGTTGCAACTATCAGCGAAAAGACACACCCAGTTGTTAAATGTTGTGGAATTGCTGAAGTGTTCACGTGACAACGTCATTAATTTGCTGTGGAGGGTGTACGACACTTTGCACCTATACGGTCTGATCCAAAAATAAATTATTAATCAAAACCCAGGCTTTTATAAATACAATCGTCTTTAAGCTTCTCAAGTTATCTACAGATGCACAGATCCATTGCTCATGCTTCATAACCAACTACTTTCCCTCCCCTACCCCCACACGCAACACTCCTAACCCTAACCCTTAAGTTGTGTCTAGGTTATACCATCATGGATGCAGTTTAAGATGCCGAGAACAAGCTTACCGAGCATAATTAAGCTTATTTTACGGACAATAATGCACGATTCAATAATATTGCATCAATATCTTTAGAATTCATGACACTATAACTTGAATCATTATTACGTTCTCTGATGTGAAAAACTGAGTCCGTGTTCAGAAAACGCATTCCATAACAGAATAAAACTTATCAATGAACAGACTTCCGTAACTGAACGTATTCTGCACAATCACATCACTTACGCTCTAAGCCGTGTCTGGAGCATTTTGAAGGCACACTAAAATCAACACGGGTTATATATTTCTTTATTTTTACTATGCATAGAATAGACACAGACATGTTTTCATAAAAAAGAAAGTGCGTGATCCATTTATAGGTGTAATTTCATTTCAGAAGACGAGACGAAAATACAAACTAAAAATTTGAAGGAGTTTGTACGTAGCAACCGGATTGCAAATGAGAAGTCGACCTTAAGGGAGTGAAGTCGTCATTGTGGTTTTTAGCAAGAGATTTGCGAGCGACACGCACACACAACAGGACCGGGCCTTTTTAAATCCTTTATATTAAGTTCACTCGCTTGCTTGCTTGCGCGCTTACGACCGTGCAAATCTTTCGGTCGTTTTTTAACCCACTTCCCGTGATCCAATCGAGCTGACATTTTGCACACAGACTCGTTGTGCGTGACAATTTATTTTCGTGAACATTTTTTCCAAAATTTTCCACTTTTTAGGAAAAAAAATTTTCATTTAATTTAAAATACCAATGTGATAAAAATGAAACTCTTACTCAAGAAAAACAAATGAATAATAAAATAAAACCGATGCCACGCATATAAAGGATTTATAGTGAAAAACTTTGTTTTTACGGGTTAATATTTTTCACTTCTTTTTCTTATCATTCGCCATGATTAATCCACTGCTGGATCAAGACCTACCCGGATTGTAATATATTTAGCTTAAAGCATTAGACAATCATTCTAATTCAACGTTTCCATCCACTTTCCTCAATAAAAATCTATATTTTATTATGTATATATGTATGTTGAACTTCTTTCACACCATACGTAGCCAACTGGTAATCGGAGGTGCGTGGAAATCAATCGTAACCATGATTGTCACTACCACATCTCCACCATAAAAATTATAATCATAACCATCATCATGATTACCACTAACACAACCATCGCCACCACCTTCCCAATGACATCTGTATAAAATCACCATCTGCATTCGCATCATGATGTCCACAGCTGTAACCACCACAACCATCATCAATCACATCAAAGACAAAGATCCCCTGTATAGCCTTAACAGACTGTTGGGGCAGGTGTTACTAGCAAGCGGATATCTAACTGGAGCGGAAATCAAACTCGGGTCATCGGGTTCGTAGTGCAGGACACTAACCGCGATGCTACCGCTCCCCACTACCATCGCCACCACCGCCGTGGTCGTCGTTATTAGACGACGTTGGGAGCGAAGATGCCGTGGAAGCCGTATGGGATGTCTCTGGGCACCACGGCTCGGCCGAGTTCCACGAACGAGGAAGCGTCCAGAACCAGCAGGAAGGACGGCTTCTCCTGCACACGGTCAGTGACGGCAGGGAGGTGGGGTCAGGTCAGGGTGGCGGGGTCATGGTAACGGTCAGGTCAGGGTGGGACATTCATCAAGTGATGCTATATCACCAGGAGTGATGGAGGGCTACGAACCCAGCTGAGTTCGATTCCTGGCTACAGGCCAGTGACATCTGAACCTCTGTGTTTCACAACGCGACTGTTGGGTCACATATCAAGCAAAGAAAAAACATGGAATCGCCAGAACTGCAAATTACCATATGAAGTCAAAAGCCAAAATAAGCATAGCGGTTTCTCTGTTCAGTCACTCGTGACCAAGGAAATCCCATCAACTCGCACAACAAAAATTGAGAGCCCAGTCGAGTCGTGGGCGAGCGTCTGAAACCTGGACTCAAATCCAGGATCTCGGCAAGGGACCAACTTGGCGTCTCTGCCGTGCCATCGGTCCCCTGGCGCCGCCCGGCCGCCTCTACTTGAGGTCGTCCTCGGATGAACCGGAGCACACCTTGTCAGGCGAAATGACGACGGACAACACCGCCCCTTCGTCCTCTCCTTCGGCTCCTGGACTCGGTACGAACACGGGCTCCGACGGGTAATAGCCGTCCACTTGCCAATGCTGCAAGCGGACAGGCATACGCGCACGCGCCAACACAAAGACGTACAAACGCGCGCGCACATGCAAATATCCACATATGTAACAACAACAACAACACCCACCATTCGCCACCAAGAGGCGTTGACATCACCACGTCGCCTGTGTCAGGCCAGCTATACTTTGAGGCCGCTCGAAGTGTGGAAGGCTCGCTGACAAGAGGTCATGGGACAGACCCGGGTGAAATGGCTCGACTGAGTGTGATGACTGGCAGATGCACCAGCTGTGCCCTCCCCCCTACTGTGCCAATGTAAGCACACACACAACGGCGTGCACATGCTCAACTACAACTGTGCTCACACACACGCACTGTGCACACATGCACGCAGCCATGTGTGCAAAAAAATACACGAAGTTCCCCCACTCATCGAGAATAACGATGGTGTACGTACTGTATGTTGAACTTCTTTCGCACCGTACGTAGCCAACTGCGAATCGGAGGCAAGTGTGTGGCAGCCAAGGGATGGAACTTGCCACAGAGGACATCCATGACGGAGATAGGAGCGATTAAATCAGCCCGTGTGTAATTGCTCGATGAATTGTTGCGCAGCAGGACAGAGATGGCGACGGCTTGAGAAGGCCTTTATCCAGCAGTGGATAGATTGTGCCTGATGATGATGATGATGCTGATGACGACGAGAGTAAATTCCAGTTGCGTGGGGCTGGTGCAAACCTGCAGCGTGCAGTGACTCAACAGCTTGCCCCAGTGTGATGTCGAGAGATGGGGTAGTTAGCAGTGGATAGACCATGGCTGATCATGATGATGGCGAGTAGGCGGCTTCAGTGACGGTGGTAATCATGACAACCAAGAGGATGGTGATGACGATGGCGATGACGACGACGTTGATGACGATGCGGTGGGACGTTTCCGATGAAGGATGTACGCGCGCGAAAGAGGACAAGATGTTTTGAGACGAGCGGGGAACCCCACCGCTGCGCCGTCGCACCTTCGTCTCCTTGGTGGTCACGTCCACCTTGATGAGGCTGTTGGGAATCACGTGCTGGAACCCGCACGAGTAGAAGTAGCGGTAGGGCCGCGCGTTGAAGCGCTCGTAGTGGATCCTGGGGAACTCGAGGCCTCCGTACTCCTCTACATCGTCGCCGTGCAGCGGCTCGGGCTCCAGCCACACCTACGGCCGCTCGGACGCAACGTGCTAAGGTCCGCAACACAACGAGGACAACGATTCCTCTCACCCCTCACCACCACCACCACCACCCCTGTGGGTTAAAGTCATGAAAGCATGAAGGAGAACAAGGGTGGGAAACGGTAGGTCCGAGGGGACAAGTTGATGGGTCAAAAGATGGCCAGCGGAGGGTCAGGGAGAGGCACGGAAGACCGAGGAAGCTCTGGTAGGGTCGGGCAGGGTCATGGGAGGTCAGGTAGGGTCAGATAGGATGTAGGTGGATCGCGGAAAGTCAGAGAAATTCATGGGAGTATCAGGGTGTTTTTTAGAGGGTGATGGTAGATAATGTAACGCATTGAGGAATAGCTACATTCTACACAATGAAGTTGAGTTTTAGTCAAGAGCTTTCGGAGATGCACAAAGTGAATCTGAGAAGTGCTTCAGAGGGATGAGTAACAGCAGGGACTTCCCACAGCTGTCCACCAGACGTCTCATCGTATTGAAGCTGTTCACCACACGCGGTCCGCGAGGCGCCCTCGGAGTCTCCGTTCGTGCGCGAGGGTACAACGCATCGTCCACGCCGGGCGAGGTGAGAGAAGGGTCACGGAGGGGGTCGAGAAAGCACGCAGAAGACCGCAGCGGAGGAGGAGGAGGGGGACGCCCACCTTGCCGTCGTCGCGGAGGGTGGCTGAGGCCGTGGTGTATGGCAGGGAGCAGAGGTTTGTGCCACGCGGGGAATCGGGCCCCACGGACAGGGGCATCACAAACCGGCGTGGGTACGTCATGGGCCGCCGATTGTAGAGCTGAGGGCGGAAATCACGACGTTCAGACGCAACGATTTATACGGGGCGTTTGCAACAAACCGAGGGGCAGCTCTCTGGTGCGCGTTGGTCGGGGTTGTAACCACGTGTCTGTCGTTTGACACGATTTGCGACAGTTTGCTCCGATGTGCTGGGAGCTGAATTAATCAGTTCGCGAAGAAGCTCCCAGCACGTGGAGAAAAACGTGTCGGGCAACGTGTCGGACAACACGCGGTGCGACACAAAAGCACACACGGCATCGAAGCAGATGTGTAGCTGTTGGAAGAAAATGTGTTTACAAACTTGCAAATAATCCTTTTTCCCACTGGGTTTTTGCATTCAAGTTTTGGGCAACCCTCTGATCAATGTGGCTGGCTTTCAATAGGGCGAGTCCGCTCGTAGCAACACAACTTTATGCTAAAGTTTTGTTAATCTTGCATCATCTTTATGAGAGTTATCATGACCCCCACGTTACGGATAGAGCTAACGCATGCTTTCAACCTCAGTTGGAAAGTGTTGGAAAGTGTTAACACTGCCGACTGATTCAACGCAGACGCAACCTGGTCAAGGGCATCCCCGGAGCTACGCAAGTTCTTCAGCGTCAGGGGGTCCTCGTCCGCTGTGCAGTAGTGGTCGACACAGCAGAGGTCGTTGACGATGTGACCGTCATCCTCGTAAGCGTTGATGTGGTGGAAGGACATCATGGCCTTCATGTGGTAGGCCACCGGCAGGATCTGGTCAGAGGGAGCGACACACGGTGAAGAGGTGGCAGGGATAAGTTGTTCGTTCTCTCGGTCGCTCATGACAATGATGATACACTCGTGCACAGAGACAAAGATTACCTCTATCGCATTAACAGATTTTTGGGGCAAGTGTTGTTAGCGAGCACCTATGAAGGCTGGCACGGTACACCAGGGGGTAGGTGGCCAGCACCACGCCCGACCGCCTTTATTTCCCCAATGGCAATGTTTACAGATCGCACCAGGTACTCATTTGAGGCTGAGTCGACCTAGGGGAGACCCAGGACCGGTTCAGATAATCGTGAGCGGGAATCGAACTCGGGTCGGCAGGTTCATAGCGCAGCGTGCTAACCGCTACACGACCACTCCCACACACACACACACGTACACACATGCTGCTGTACGTACTCGTACATAATTCATCACAAGAGGTTAAATCAGACATGACTGGCCCACTGCCAAATGGAATATCAACACTGAGAAAACGCATTTCATATCAGTCGACAATCCCAAATATTAACTCTTTGTAATATACACTCATGCCATCGTCATTATTATCATCCATGGTCAATGCATATTTCCTAGAAAACTCTTAAATGCAAAAGCAATCGTTATAAAGAAACTGGCCAATCATCCGGATGGTGGGACTTTCCAAAAAAAATATTCTGAGACTCAGAGAGGGTTTCCTGGGCAATAATAATAAAATTACAGATTTCCCTCTCTGAAAAGAAGATAAAGTGCCAGAGTGTGTTTCTGGGCTAGGCGAAAGAGGGAGGGAGTTGGAATTGCAGGCCACTCATCATCTATCTATCAATGGAGATGTGAAGAGCTTGAAGATGCAATGAACAACAGAAGTAACTGAGGAATACGGACTTCCGTGGGTATGGTCACATCAGAATAACCAAGCAGGAATCCGGCAAAACCAATGGCGACGTGAGTAGAGGGCAACAGACGAAGAGGATGCCCAATAAAATGGACCGATGGAGAGAAGGAGACTGTAATGAAGAGGAATGATCAGCAAAGTAATACGGAAACATCAGGGATATGACGATGATCACCAACACACGGGGACTGCTGCTGCTGCTGGAAGTTCATGAACCAGCGGCCTCCGTAAATGGGCTGGACAGGAAGAAGAGGAAGAAACAATAAGAAGAAGATATTGTTCATTCGTTGCGGCAAACCGCGCGAGTGCTTCGGGGAGGGCCGTGCGGCGTGGAGGGGAGGCTCGTCGCACCTCGCCCGTGTGCTTGTTGGCCACGCGCATGATGCTCCCACGCTGCGGCTTCCAGACCATGGAGTGCGAGTAGGACCGGCCACGGAGACGTGACGTGAGCAGCTGCAGGATGTCCATGCACAGCGGCTGCTCCAGGAACACCACGTAGTTCTCCGTCATCGCTGGACGAAGATGAGGGGGAGAGGGAAACGTCGAGGTGCAGCCCCGCAAAGTGTCTGGCTGGCGGCACCGCTCGGCCAGAGGCCTTGCTTCAGCCCCCCGCGTCCTTCCAGTTACCGGATTGATGTCTGCCCGCACCGGGTTAGTCTTGGGGGGCTATGTGACCGTGCATACGTATGTACGCTGAACTTCTTTCGCACCGTACGTAGCTGATCGGAGATGCGGGGAAAGAGGGGAAGGACCGCTTCAAATGTCGACCGCCACCAACGCTGCCCGTGGCCGGGAACCGAACTCGGGTCGCCGGGTTCATAGTGCAGTGGCGCATGCCGTCTGCGACATCGCTCCAACCCATAATGCAGTACATTAGTGTATAATTCGACTGCAGTGGCATAATTACAATGACGGCTTTGTAAATGACCATGATTGGATGACACACCGTGAGGGTCGTGGTTTTTTTTTTTTACTACCATACTTCACCGCACTTTCCAGTGTGGGTTGGTGAAGGCGAGGTTCTCACAGTACATGGTAGCATAGTACAGTACAACAATGGATCAATTGATTACGGTGCACTGCCGCGCTCTGCTCTGACAACGTCGCCCAGTGTGGTTAGCAGAACGTTAATCAGCGCACATTTGGTTCGATCGCGAGTGTGGGTTTAGCGATGCGGTGGTAATATTACCAAAGCTATGGTAATACGATGGAAATCGTGAATCTGCGGCCGGGAAGCGTGCGACGATCGTGGCGCCCTCGAGCGTGTCGCTGTCCGAGTCCTTTTGCACCGGCACGCGGATGATGGCGTAATGCGTCCCTGGTGGGTGGCACAGACGCAGCGCAGCAATCATATTGAGAGGGTGGCGGTGACTTGGAAGGCCTTTATCAATCCAGCAGTGGATTGCTCACGCGTGTATGTATGTGAAACTTCTTTGGCACCGTAGGATTAAAACCCATCTCTTCTCTCCCGAGCCCATCCTGCGACTGCTACTCCCTGCCCCCGCTCTTCAGCTACAACCAGAATCAGAATCTGTATTCATACTGGAGGAGGAATCCGATGAGCTATAAAGCTCTTTTACACAGGTGTCCAGTCGGAGTGGGTCAGAAAATTGCAACAACAAAAAAACAACCAGACCTACTTCAACCCCTACCATTATTCCAACCCCTATCACTACCCCTTCCACTACTATCACTACCTCCACCCCTATCACTACTCCAACCCCTATCACAACTATCACTACCTCCACCCCGATCACTGCTCCAACCCCTATCAATACCCCTACCACTACTATCACTACCTCCACCCCTATCACTACTCCAACCCCTATCACTACCCCTATCACAACTATCACTACCTCCACCCCGATCACTGCTCCAACCCCTATCACTACCCCTATCACAACTATCACTACCTCCACCCCGATCACTGCTCCAACCCCTATCACTACCCCTATCACTACTATCACTACCTCCACCCCTATCACTAACCCAACCCCTCCGTAGCACACTTTAATCAGTGTTTTTTTTTCGTCCATAATATATAATAGGTGATGTTTTGGGCAATGGCCCTTCATAGCATAAAGAGAGACCAGAGAGACAGGGTAGCTAACAAGCGTTGGAGACTGCAGCATAACACATTGTTTGGTGATGCTGCTGTGTTGGCAGTGGTGCAGAAGCGTAAAGAACAAAACAAGGCAATGGCCCTTCAGAGAGCATGGCGGGCGACGTTTCGAGCAATGGCCCTTTCGGGCATGTGAAGATGCTTTACCGTTTGCGACCTCTGACCTTATTTGACCCTCGCGACCTCTGACTGACATTTCCCCTTGCGATCTGCGATCTTTGTGACCTCTGACCTTCTCTGCCGAAGATGTTGCCCATGTTGTAGGCCGTGCCGTCGGGGTCGTAATGGGGGTGCGCCGTGGCCGAGTTGACCGCCACAAACTTGCCCCAGTCCACCTGCACGCGGACGAGCGAGCACAACCCCCACCTTGTGTCACAACCGTGTCCCGCTGTGTCCCGCGCCGCGTCGCCCCCATCCGTTGTGTGATCCCTTTGCTGTGCAAGCTGTACTGCGTGCGTGGAGTGCTGTACGGCCCAAGGCTTGCTACAATGTGGCCAGGGGTGGAAAAGGGGCCGGAACGACCCAGAATGCCGTGGCGGGAGTGAAAATTTGAACCTGACTGAGGTTGTGGAAGCAACCAGGGACAGAAGTAGCGTTGGTAGCGATAGTCTATATATAATGATTTGAAGCTTTCCCACCTGATGACGGACGCTTATGTATGCGCGCCAAAACGTCGTGATTTATTTTATTGTATACCTACGTGACTTTACCGAAAGAACCAAAGAGTATAGTCTATATATGTAGATATCTACAAATATAACTCCCGCAATTGTCCGTCTGTTATGCTCTCGATCTCCCAATCGGTAAGTGGGAGTAAAATATACGGAGAATCGTGTAAAACGTTTGCGAATATACTTAACAAATAGATACAACAGTGTTTACTATTTTAAATGAACACGCTGAAACAAGCAACACAATGTAAATGTATCCGTCAATGCTCGTGTTTGCCACACCGATATGAGGCATTGTACTGCCCCGCTCTGGGCTGCGCCGTTTCCACACCGATCGACGCTGTACCGCACGAGTCGCCGTGAGCCTCACCTTCTCCTTGGTGTCGAGCGTGCGAGGGTCGACCTTGCGCATGTGCATGGTCTCCGAGCTCACGTACACGTCCTTCTTGTACTCCACGTAGTTCACCACGTCGTTGTCGGTGGGCGCTGCATAACCACCCCCCCAGCCCGGGCAACACGCGTAACAAAACGTTAAGAATAAAAAGGAACGATTGTTTTTTTAAATCACCCTAGCAGCCCGCATGTTCTCTGGACGTGACCCTCCCTCCAGTGCTGGATTAAGCTAGAGCGGGGCTTGTAGCATATGATGTTATAAAGGCGCCCTAAATAAAAACAATCATAAATATTAAAACACACATTTTTTTACTTGCATAGTAAAGTAATTGTATTTTTTCATTTGCTGTACAGCCAGATAATATGACAAATCGCTAACCTTAAATACCCAGTCGTTCATAAAAGTTGAAGGCAGGAGAGTACTATAGTAGTAGAGCAAGTGCAGAATCACTGAACCGGAATTGATAGCTTGACAGCATTTAGCGCGGGGCCCTTGAAAGTGCGGGGCCCGTAGCATATGTAGCTACTTTTGCTACTCGGATAATCCAGCACTAGCTCCCTCCCTCCCGCCAGACAAACAGCCAGCCAACCAGTAAAACTTTATTTCCACTACAGTATAATTGTGAGCAGTAAATCATGAAACTGCAAAATTTCTAGAATGCTCAACTGACACATGGTGAGGTTGACAGCCCCTCCCTCCATTCGCTCCACCCACTTTTACATAGCCACACCCACCCAACCACTAGCCCCACCTACAGGGCGAGTGACCTCGCTCTTCCGGCATTTTCCACGCCGGCTGCGAAAGAATCCATTCAGAATTCTCACGGAGTGAGCAGTGAAACTCCCCGATTTAAGAGAACGGGCGACAGAAATGGATATCACAGAATTGCTTCTCAGGTACCTTAAAGTGATCTCCGATTCGCACACTAGGGCGTAGGACTTTCCCAAGCTTCCTGCTACATAGTAACTTTTGTCACACATGATAGTACAAAGCAATATTTAGCATTCTTAGAGGTGGAATGCAACCAAAGTGAGTGCACAACTACATTTAACATGCCCCGATTCTCTTGAGAGCAGTGTTATTGATGAGTGTGTTGAAATTTTAATTATTTTTTTTTGCAGGCATTTGTGGCTGATCTGAAAACATCGACCGGTAACACTTTAGATCCCAAGTTAATCATCGGTGGCTCAAACCCGAATTCGAACCCAACACATTTGTCAATAACACTATGGTCTTAAAATTAGTAACATATTATAGGTGACGTTTCAGGCAATTGTCTAAATAAGGACCATTGCCCAAAAAATAAGATACTTTTCCTTTGAAGGCCACGGTGGTCTTGACAAATGTGTTGAATACAGCATTCAATAGTGTAAGTCCCAAATGGCAACACAACTGTATACTGTGTTCTTTCATTTATATAAACTGTGTGAATGAGAGCTACAGTGCCCCCCACCCCCGACAACCTCATTACGGACAGATGGACAGACCTAAGGAAAGCGTTTTGAAGTCTGAATTGGTAACCCAGTAAATGAGTGCCTCAACCTTGCCCCCTACAGTTGCCGAACGAATACAATATAAGGTCGCACTCATTACACACAAAATGCTTGCCAAAAATGAACCACTCCACTTTGCCGATCTCGTCAAGGATTATAAACCATCTCGCAAACTCCGGTCATCCTTGCAGCAGCGGCTTTCGGCTAGCCATCGAACAAAGACGGTCACTGCATCGCCCACTTTCAGATGCGCTTCTGCGGCCGTCTGGAATGCTCTTCCTTCTGATATTAGGAAGCCACTGGGAGCTATGTACTTTTAAATCATCATCTAGATTGACAAACTAATTTCTTTAGAACTGCTTTTTGTGTTTAGTTTGTTGTCCTTCCCCCGCACCGCCGATGAGCCCGGTTGACTACGTACGGTGCGAAATAAGGTCAACATACAGAACATACATTCTGCGAACATCACCTGGTGGTGAGAAGTAGGTGAAAAATCTGTCGAAGAGCGTCTTGCAGGGGTCGGGCACGGCCATGGTGCCGAACTCGGACACCACGATGCGCTGCCGGGCCTCGTTGAGGAGGTACGAGTCGCTGCGCAGGAAGCGGCTCGAGTAGGAGACGCGGCCGTCGTGCACGCGGAAACGGTGCATCAGCGCCATCCCGTCGAACCAGTGGTTGTAGCTGCGACGGGGAGACACCGTCTCTCATACGTTAGTCTCCCGGTATTTTACAACCAGTGGTTGTAGCTGCGACGGGGAGACACCGTCCGTCACGTTAGTCTCATGCTATTTTACATACGGCGGTTGCCGAGTGCAAGGCCCAACCGTCCAAAACATCAAGTGGCCAGCATCAAACGGCACCGATGGATAAATGTGAATGCTCATAATTATGTTCGGAGTTATGACGTTTCTGGAATTGGGGAAGGTTATAAGTAGCTGGGGCAGGGGAGACCGGATGGAATTCCTGAGTCGCGCAGTGTGGATCTCTACGCAAGCCTCAGCAGTTACGTATCAGTCAAGTGCGACCAATCGCTCGCCTCACATGGAGCGATTCGGGAAAAGAAGAACATTGCCACATCGCCACGTTAAAGCGTAGCACTGGCCGGGCTCAATTCAAAGCAGTCACGACACGTCCACACAAATTCGGGCGTCCACCGACAATCGAACGCGTCACCATTTTTCTCCATGTTAGTCCTTATGTCAGTGTGTTTCTGTGTCTATCTCTCCCTTTGTCTCTCAACGTGTCTCTGTGTTTCTCTGTGCCTCTCAGTGTCTATGTTTCTCTGCTTTCCCCCGTGCCTCTCTATGTTTCTCCGTGTCCCTGTATATTTATCTGCAATACCCTGTGTCTCTCTACGGCTCTGTCTGCGTCGCACCATCCAACGTCAACTTAAGCAGCAGTCACACGCGCACACACACACACAGGGGCAAATCCGAGTTCCCGCCGACAATTGAGTGTGAACCTTCGTGTCACCTGTCTGGCCCGAACTCGAACTTCCCGGGTCCATTTCGGAGCAGGGTCCCCTTGATCCAGGCTGGGATGGTGCCGTGAATCTCTGCCTCCATGGTTTCGGGGGTCTCCGTCACTGTGGCAATGATGGGGGCGATGCACTGCAGGCCGGAGCACTTTGCGTACTCGCGGCTCGGCGAACGGCGACGTGGAAACAGCAGCGAGAGGCCTGCACGGCACACATGCACAACAACAACAACACCAACAACTGGCGTTCACCACAAAGCGGCGGGGACGTCACCACGGCGCTTGTGTCAGGCGACGTGTACCTTGCGGCCGCGTGAAGTGTCAAAGGTTCATTGGCCGGAGGTTATGAGACAGACCTCGGTGCCATAGGTTGCCTGACCTAGATGACTAGCAGATGCACCACACACACAGATGTACATACAAACATATACCTACACTCACATATGGACACGGATGTACACATCTTTCCTATGTGTACACGGATGTGAAAATGGAAAGTGTACAAACACACGCACACACATGCAACCTTGCAAGTGGGGTGCATGCATGCACAACCTGTTTTTTTTATGGTGGCCTCCTACTAAAGGCGACTGGTCTCCACTTCCCCTTTGCCGCCCGCACTCCACCAGCCCCACACTTGTTTGATATTGTGTGCTCGTGCATTTTGTTGCTACAACGTGGCACTGATATTACACACTTCTCGGCATTTTAACAAATTCCTCCTGCACGTTACCCATGCCGCAGCCTGTGGCCCTACTCATGGGCTTTCACGCCCCCATGGTGGAGTGCTACACACGGGTTGTGTGACACTGCCATAGTGTACACCCATACAGACTCTTAGGACAAATTCTTCGAGTAAGCGTCTATTAAGGGCGGCAAAGCAAAGGAGAGGGTGGTGTGGTCGCTACTACTTTGGGCCTCCTTGATCTCCTCTGCGCTGATACTTTATACACCGCACCAGGTGTCGCATTTCAAGGCTGAGTTGATCTTGGGGAGAACCAGGACAGGTTTAGGTGTCACTTATTACGAATGCTATCCATGGTTAGGAATCGTAACCCATACGTAAAGTCCGTAGCGCAGTGCGCAAACCATTAAGCCACCACTTTGTACTGACCCATACAAGCAGAGATAATAAAAACTGAACACTGCTCCAGCAAGCTCAAGTCGATTTACACGTTTGAAGTGAATCCAAAATGCATTCAGTTCAGGTAAAGTTTGTAGTCAAAGCCAGTACAATAATATCATTGTTTTCCCAATTACATCCCAAATGTAATATCGGCATCACATCACGAGTCGATGAATCAGTTTGTATCTCTTGCAGAGAAATGCAGCCCCCTGGGTTAGGGAGCAGCCTACAGAACTAAATACCACGGAGTGAGATATCTCGTGAGATACCTCGTGAGTTATTTCAATGTCATAATTGTTGTTGCCACAATGAAAAAAAAACTCTTCAAATGTATTGGCAAGATTAAAAAGAAACTTGGCTTTCAAAAACACAGCAAAATAAAAGTTTAACTATATTGGCACAGAGCAAAGTGCGAGATAACTGATAACATATATACAGCTACGCTGATAGAGGATCAAAAGTGCAATGCATCTGCCAATCATCAGTTGCTGACAAATCGGGTTCATGGGTTTTTCTCGGTCAGGAGTCATCGCAGTCCATAACCCCCTACTGGGGTAGACCAATGATTACCACGTCGGCCCCTCCATGTAAATGTAGAATGTCCACCACTACGCAGGATTTCCAGGCCCTGACTTTGACTGCTCATAGTCATCATTAGCCATAATCACTCCACTGCTGGATGAAGGCCTTCGTAAGCTGTTGCTGTCTCTCACGGTCCTGCGATGTAGCAATCCATCCAGCACCAGCACGTGAGTTGATTATATCATTCCAATTGAGTGTTTGACTACTAGAACCCCCAAAAAATATATGTTGACTATATTTGGCCTGTTCACAGGAGGCTCTAGGCCTAAAATACATTCATGTTTAAAATATATTTTTCAGAAATACATGTATCTTATCACATGTGAAGTCGTCTGATTAAGTGTGCCCTTATCATCTATAATTACCGTACTAAATTTAAACTTAAGAGCAGTTGATGTCTAATGCCCCCAGGGCCAGGTCTGCCTCGTCTTGTTTCCTTGCTTGGCTTCCTTTGCCTAGCCTGGCGAGGTAATCGGGGTGAGACCGGGGTCGACCCAAGTTATTACCATTATCATCATCAGCTCTTATCGAGCCACTGCTGGATGAAGACAAATACAATGTCTTACTTTGTGTTTGTTGCTTGATGTGTTTCTCTGTCTGTGTGTTATTCCACGCATGCCTCTCCATGCTTTTATGATCTTCTAGATTGTGTTTCGTTTGTTGTGCTTCCCCCCGCACCTCCGATTACCACGGTTGGCTACGTACGGTACGAAAGAAGTTCAACACACATGCTTGCTCTAATCACTGCTGCATGAAGATACAAAATAAATGTCTTTGATTCACGAGTGTTTTAGAAATCAAATGTTCCCTTTCCTGTCTCTCAATGTCATGCCCAGTGTGCACCTCCCTACGTCGTTGCTTTTTACACTTTCCATTCTTTACCCATTTTCCAATTTTTGCATTAATATCCACGTTCCTCTGAACCACGTCGTAGCAAGTCATACGCCTTCATCAAATCGATCAAAAGAAACCATTCCTAGCACAAGGCACGTTGGGAAGCGACACACAATCCATGCGTCTGCATGGTTGTTTTCCCCCCACCCCCTTCTTGTGTTTCGCTGCAATGGCTTCACTGCCCGACGTCGTGTGTGGGTGTCACGCATACCGAGCAGGCGGCTGAGCCAGGAGGCAAAGTCCTGGAGGAAGATCCACAGCAGACCCAGCACCAGCCCTCCGAGCCGCACCACACTTCCACTGCTGCTGCCCATCGCGCTGGCTCGCCTGGGCTCACCTGGGCTCACCTGGGCACACAAACATCAATCACCCACCACTGGCACCGGCAGTACAGCCAGGATCAACAGCTCGAGCAAAATTACTACCACCATCAACACAGGCAGCGCGATTACCACCACCAGCAGCACCAGCATCTTCACCAACAGCAGCAGCACTGGAAACATTAACAACACCATAGACACATTGACCATTAGGAGCAGCCTCAGCGGTAGCAACAGAGCCAGCAACATTAATGCTAACTTTGACTTAAAACTTTCGTGACTGCAGGAATTCAAATGCTTTGGTTCTTTCGGTAAAGTCACGTAGATAGAAAACGTCGTGAGTTTTTTTTTATTATTTTGTATTTTTTTATCAATTTTATTTTATATCTACGTGACTTTACCGAAAGAACCAAAGAATATTAATGCTACCCTCAATACCAGTACAGTTCTACTGTTAGCACCAACACTGCAGCCAGCACAGCAACACAGTCAGCATTAGCAGCACAAGAGCAGAAAGCACCAACGAGCCTGAGCAGCGTCAGCAGCATGAACAACACCAGACACAGCAAAGCCCCACGGGCAACATTAACAGCACCGGGCACTGCTGCCTCCTAAGGCAGTGTGGTTCCAAATGTGCGGCCTGTGGACCATTGGTGGTGGGCAAGCCCGTGGGAAGAAGTCACCTGTAGGACTACTACAGATACAGTACTAAGATATTTTCCCCACAAAATGATAATAAAAAAATTACTGCGCATAACACTAGTACAGTATTTCGATGAGTAAATGAAAAGAGCGAGAGAGAAGTTCGTTTGACGACTTAATTAACATTTTGAAAGAGGTTTTAAAATGTATAATAGTTTTAATTTTGCAAACTGTTATTTGCCATTTGGTTGATCGTGGAAACATTCTTGACGGCTGGGCAGTTGGTGCAAGGGGACGAGCAAAGGTTGTGGGAATAGATGTGCCGTGGGATGTTTAATGTGCAGTGCCGTGCACATCCATCACACGCGTGGCAGGCGTGATCGTGTCTTGGTGTTGTCACGGGAGGGCCCTTCTATGGCTTCCGCGGATTTTTCCCAGTCGGTTTCATGACCCGGCCAAATATTTTTTTTTCTCGCGTAATGTCAGCCAGAACGGGTAAGCAAGCCACTGTAGTGGGAGTGCATTTCAATGTGCCAGTTATTGTTCCAAGGATAAACTAAACTATCATTCTAGATTTGAAGCTTTCATGACTGCAAGGATTGATACTCTTAGGTTTTTTTCGGTAAAGTCACGTAGGTAAAAAATAAATAATAAAAATAATATTATTTCTATTATTGTAAAAATAAATAAAATAAACACCGAAATTATATAATTTCTATTATTTTTATTTTTACCTACGTGACTTTACCAAAAAAACGAAACTATTAACTATTTTTATTTTTACCAAGTAAGGTGCCACTAAGCTATGTATATATAGCTATTTTTCAAAAGCGACCTGGCCACAAATGATCGTTCAACGAAGTGGCTTATCACGTGCCAAAAGTACACTCTAAACGCGTGACGTTGATTCTAAACGTGGAGGGGAAAATCGGAGAAGACGCTGAGAAAAATCCACGCAACCACGGAGAGAGACACAAGCAAACTCCACATATACAGCAGGCGTCAGGGTCGGATTCGGGGTCGAACCCACGACCTCCTGTGTACCGTGCGGGAGAGTTAACATCTGCCCAACGCGGCGGCCAGCTCTCTGACGGCTGAGTAACCCGGCCACCTCACGAGCATGCTTGGAATATTTGGCAACTGGTGACATGGGGAGCTCTCGTGAATACAAGCAGTACAGTACTGGCACATAGACCATGCACGCAATGATTCACGTGGGGGTGGGCTGGTCGTGGTGGCGCAGTGGTTATTGCACTGCGCTATGAACCCGGTTACTTTAACTTTGATTCCGGGTCACAGCTGACATCAGTTTGCGAGTGACATTTAAACCGCAAACTTTACCCCCCCCCCCCACCACCTTTGACAAATCCACTAAGATCAGCATGGGGAAGTATGGTCATATAACTCCCGTGACCGTCACGATGTGGGGAAGGCCTTCACTGGGCAGGGTGTTGACAAAGGGCTGTATGCAACGATTCCCTCCTGGCCTCCCAGATCGATTCAATCGACATGATTCAGTGTCATTTTGTTCAATAATCGATTCTCATTTTTACCGTCTGATTGTTTATTTTTCAGTGCAATTTTTTAAATGTCTGTTTTATTGTTTGCCACCCTAAGTTCTGCCGCAAGCCTTGTGTACAGCACAAATCTAATAAAAAATATTTAAGCCAGTGTTTTTAACCCATGTGTTATATTTTTTGTTACATGACAAACACGATGGCAAAAATGTCAACATCGCACGTGCTGAGCGAATTAAATTTTTATGCAAAGTTATTGGACTTGGACCAAAATCTATCTATTTTTGCCAAGTGATGTCACCTTTCCGCGAGAATAATCCCCAGCCACGCAGTGCCCACCAACAACACACATTAGACGCCGAGTTTATGATCCACTTACAACTCTGTGTTGTGGAATTAATTCGGCGAAACATTCCTGTCTGTTGCCCATTCACCACCCCCAAGTTAAGAGCCTGGTCACCTCACACAACTACGTATACACGCGCTGGTATGCACTCAGCAATGGTACGAAACGGACAGCAAACCGACGCTAGATTATACTGTGTACACGACTGTTTTACTACCTGTGCACTTTGGCAGTGAAGTTGGAATCTGCGGTGCAAGCACCAAGGTCATGCTTCTGACCTCCACTGTACGTACTTGATGGGATTCAAAGTAAGGGAGAGGTTCATCGACGGTCCAGCACTCACTGGTTCACTCCGGCCACCCGCTCATCGGCGGTCAGTGGCCTACTCATCGCTCTTCTACTGCTACTACCGTGGTTTTACAGTTCCCGTTCACCTCACTCGTCCAGTCCTCCACCCATGTGCACATACATGTCAACCCCTTATCAATGCCCTACCTTTTCACAGAGCAATTCAGACATGATTGGTCACCCCATGCCCCATCACAAGGGAGACACACAAATGGACAAAACATTGTTTTGCCCCTATTGAAACGGCTGTACGCCGTATGGACCTGAAAACTCAATTTCCCTGTACAAGACTACGGGGTAAACCGTCTGGGTTCACAGCGATGTGTTGAGGACTCGGTCTCCCTGACTATTTCGTCTCTAACCACCACACTGAATGTCACACAACACTTCTCTATCTGCGTCTTCGTTCACACTGCTCTACTTTGGAATCCTCTCCTCCCATCGTCTCTTTTAATTTAACAGTGCAATTCGTCGCCGGCCAAATCAAATCAAACTTTACTTATACAGCAAAATTAATGCATAAAATGCAATACAAAGTGCTTTACAAGACACATTAAAAGCGACTGGCACAATGTAAACAACAAAAAGATTAATACGTTAAAAAAGACGTAACATAATGAACTAAACGTATAATAAAAAGCATAATAATCACACACTCAGGGCATCCTAATTATAAGCCAATCTATAAAGGTTACGTTTATAGATGTCGTTTGAAAACATTCACCGATTCTAATGCCCTCAGATCCTCGTGCAGACCGTTCCAAAGACGAGGACCACAGCAGCTGAAGGCTGCCCTCCCCAGAAGTGTTTGAGTCCTCGCCTTCGGAACAACCAAGAGGACCAGTGCCGGAGGACCTGAGGGAGCTACTGGGTTCACACCTTAAACGCGCATGCCAGACGTGCATTCAGGCGCCAGTCCCATTTAGTGACTTAATCACCAAGAAAAATAATCTTGAAATTAAATCTAAAAGTGACAGGCAGCCAGTGTAGAGACTTAAAAACAGATGTAATGACTAGATTCGAAGCTTTCGTGACTGCAGGAATTACTCTTTGGTTCTTTCGGTAAAGTCAAGTCTAAAATAAAATTAAATAATCGAATACGACGTTTCGATTGCAACACAAGCAACCGTCATCAGGTAAGAATGAATTAGAAAACCAAACATAGTAAACTTATAAATATAATGCAATACAACACAGAGAGTCGGCTAACACAACAGTCAACACCTCACCTGGTTGATTACGTTCTTCCAAAGATTGCAAAATTTAGCCGACTCTGTGTTGTATTGCATTATTATAATTCTAAGTTTACTCTGTTTGGTTTTCTCATTTATTCTTACCTGATGACGCTTGCTTGTGTTGCAATCGAAACGTCGTATTCTATTATTATTTCATTTTCTTTTCTACGTGACTTTACCGAAAGAACCAAAGAGTCGATCTCATCATATCTCGGAAGCTAAACACGATTGAGCCTGGATAGTGCTTGTATATGAGTGGCACACACACACACATGTTGCTGCTATAGCCTGCTACCGCTGCATCGTTGTGCGAGAACAGAAAAAAAAACATCTTCCGCTGTTACTGTGCTACAATGCTCCCACCGTCTGTACTAATCGCCTTCACGACCCCCTGCCACGGGCCCCAGCCACCTCTCCGTGCAGCAACACAGGATGCGTGCACGCTGGCAGCTGACGGTACCGCGTGTCTTTGTGAGAGCGCAAAGACACGGAGCTCGTAGAGCGTGATAGTAGGACAACGGCGCACGAACGCCGTCGCTTCTCGAGAGAGAGAGTGAGAGAGACGTTATTCAGTGACGCTGCGTTTGGCAGTGGTGCAAAAAGCGCAGACAAGAAAGAACGAGAGCGCGTTCGTCGATAACACGTGTGGCCCCAGAAGGAAAAAAGAGCATGAAAAAACGAACGAACGAATAGGATACGCGTTGGACAATGACCCCTTTGTCGTGCGCTTCTAAATAAGGTCCATGGCTCGAAGCGTCGCCTACTTTAATTGACCTACGTCAGTGTTAACGACGAATGCGGTGAGTTTAGAGAGACACCACGGAGCTGATCCACCCACCTGGTTCACCACCTGAGTCGAACTGCGAATGAAATGGGAACGCCGTCACCACTTTATATATTTATGTTGGGAACCAAACAAGCCGAGAGTGGACAAGCGGGTCCTCGGTCTACGTCACTGGGCGAGGGTGACAGGGTAGGGGGCCCTTTAAACGCATTGGCAGCTCCATCCCCTCCCCCAATCCCTCGTCAGCAGCCCCCCCCCCTCTCATCATCTCCCCCCTCTCATCTCCCCCTCGCCCCTCCCCTCATCGCACCCCCCCCCCCACCACCTCAGCCCAATTCTAGCCGCTGTGGCTAGGAGATGTTAACTCACTACACATGGACACACACACGCGCGCACATAACAAGGGCTTTGTGCAGGCGTAGAGATGCCACAGATTGTGATGAACAAGGCGGCCCAAGAGCTCCATCCGGCCACGGTTTAACACGAGGGGCGAGTCACAGGCGAGTCACAGGTGAAACTTCTGTTACCCACACTAATTTTCCGACCCCGGAGCGACCAGCGTGGGGAGGTATGATCAAACAACCCCCATGGGCGTCACGGCATTCATCCAGCAGTGGATTGATAGAGGGCTGCAAAATGTATTTAGTTTATCATTCTACACTGACAGAATACGTGGGAGATTAAACACACACACGCAAGCTAACACAGATGCCACCATTACATAAGCTCCCTCTAACAAATACACTGGGACACACACACACACAAAAAGCACACTCGTCACTGACCGTAGTCACTGACCGGCCCCTCTATCAATCCTGGGTCACCCGAGTCCATTAAGAGGTGGAGAGCCCAGTCCTGCAAGGTAGCGTATTCGCAACAAAGATGATGATGAGAATGACGATAATGGTGATGAACATGATGGCGATGAGGACTGTGACAATGATGATGATGACGGTGGTGCTGACCATGATGGTGATGTTGAGGATCATGACAACAATGAGTTATGACAATGACGATGACCACGATGGTGATGATGCGGATTGTGATGATAACAATGGGTTATGACAATAATGATGACCATGATGGCATTGATGCGGATTGTGATGATGTTAGCAATGATAGTGTTGACAGGGGCAGTCGGTTGGGGGGGCAGAAGGGAGGCAGTGGGGGTGGAGGGGAGGGGATGAGGAGGAGGGGGGTTGTAGGGGAGGGGTTGTAGGGGAGGGGTTGTAGGGGAGGGGATGAGGAGGAGGGGGTGGGGTTGTAGGGGAGGGGTTGCTCACGGAGTCCTCCGTCTGGAGGAACAGGCAGAGCTGGCCTCCATCACAGAATCTTTGTGTGTCGCAGACAAGGGCCGGCCAACACTCGACAAGTCGACCACGCAACGGCCATAACTCACCCACGACATAATCACTACCGCAGCAACACAACACGGCCATAGGACAAGCGTGACAAAGTCTGGAGAGAAATAACACATCGCCTGCTATGCAAGGAGGGCGTGTGGGTTGGATCCCGACCCTGACGCCTGATGTGCATTTGGAGTTTGCGTGTCTCTCTCTCTTCCCGTCGTCGCGTGGATTTTTTCCCTCCTGGTTTTCCCCTCGACATTTAGAATGAACATCACCACGCGTTTCAAAACTATTGTGGCTGCGGCTATAAATGTCCACGCGATAAGCCACTTCGTTGGGCTATCATTTGTGGCCAGGTAGCTTCTGAAAAATAGCTACACAGCTCAGTGGGACTTACCTGGTAACATAAACAATAATTGTTTAAATACTCTTTGGTTCTTTCGGTAAAGTCACGTAGAAATACATAATTTATTTTTTTATTTTTTATTCCTGCAGTCACGAAAACTTCAAATCATTGTTTTAATAGTTACATTAGACCCAACCCCCACACCCCCGCCCCTTAATTAAAAATCCCCCGCGCCCCGCCCCTCAACCCACCTCTTCCCCGTCGCCCCTCCCCTCGTCCCTCCACCTGCCCTCTCAATTAAAACTCCCCCGCGCCCCGCCCCTCAACCCCCCTTGCCCCCCCTCGTCTCCCCCTCCCGCCCCTCATTTAAAACTCCCCCGCGCCCCGCCCCCCAAACCCCCCATCGTCCCCCCCTCCCGCCCCTCATTTAAAACTCCCCCGCGCCCCGCCCCTCAACCCACCTCTCCCCCGCTCGCCCCTCCCCTCGTCCCCCTTCCAGCCCCTCAATTCTAATTCCCCGCGCCCCGCCCCTCAACTCCCCCTCCCTCGTCCCCCCCTCCCGCCCCTCAATTCCAACTCCCCCGCGCCCCGCCCCTCAACCCACCTCTCCCCCGCTCGCCCCTCCCCTCGTCCCCCTTTCCATCCCTCAATTCAAAATCCCCCGCGCCCCGCCCCTCAACCCCTCCCCCTCGTCTCCCCCCTCCCGCCCCCTTCATTCAAACAGCCCCTCCCCCTTCGCCCCATCGCTGGCCCGGGCCCCGCGGTGCACTGTGGGAGTTGGACGTACTTAAGGGAGCGGCCATGTTGGTGGAGTTGGGCCGCTGAAAGGGAGAGGCGTTCGAGAGACAAATCAATCCTTCTCCATCCGCACCCAAGCCCGGCTCATCGAGAGACGCAGTCGTCTCGTACGGTTCGTGCGCTTCCTGCCTATCGAAACGGCGACATTATTTTTCGCGATCGATGCTCGGTGAAATGGGATTTGTGTCGACGCGAATCTGGCCTCTGGTTGTTTGTGTACTACGCGGATGCGAAGGGCCTCGGAGGCTTCTCCTGACCGTCCCCTCCCAACGATAAATTCGCAATCTTTTGGGGTAAAATAGCAAAATTGCCGGCTAAATAAGCGCAGTTTGTCATCGCGTCGCTTTTATGGGAACTGTTGGTGGTGTGAAACGCTTAAAATGCGCACCATTGGTGGCGTTGAGGTTTTTTTTGTGTCGAGCGAAATTTGTGGGCCGGGTTTGTGACGTGGGTTTAGGTTATTGCGCTTTTACTGTTTAAAAAGGTGAAATATAAATATTCTTAAATATTCCGACGTAATACACGATTGCATCGAGAAGGAAGGACGTAGCAGCTGTTATGTCACCGGTGTTGCCTTTTACAGTAGTTGTTTACGCTAAAAAAACATCGTATAATGGTGCGTAATGCAATTCCTGGCTCTCATTGTGCTGCATTGCACAAGCGGATAAACGTTAACTTCGAATGGTTTTATTCCAGTCAATCCTCGCCGAGTACTCTCGTTTCTTCATTCGGGGAGGGTCCTACGTCGTAATTGTTAACCAATTTCAATTTAAGGAGCGATTTTTTTGCGTTTTTGGGGGGGGGGGGACCCCGAAGTGCTTGAGGCAGAAATCCACGCAAACTCTGTCTAGTTCGGTAAAGAGACGGGTCCACGATCCCCACTTGGCCGTCTTCTCGCTTTGCTCTGTCCCCGAGTTCCTTCGAACCTGCGGGAGTTCCGCAAGTCTGATCCACCATCTTAAGAAAATACGCAACTGCTGTCCATTTTAGCAGTGCCCTGGGTGCTTTGGGAGCGTGCGAATGCATCTAAATTTAGTAACAATTGTGGTGTATTACCAATATGCCGATGTCAACAAGGTTCTGTTTTAACTCGCGATGTTTGAGCTGCAACAAAGAGGCGACTTGCCTGAAAACATTACGAAACTTTGCTCCCATGGGATGGCAAGTGCTTCGACTGATAGGCACTGTAAACACCAGAAACAAAGTGGCCTAAATATTACAACTTTGCAATGTGGAGAACGGGCAAGCCGTTTTGAGTAGCACTAAATAACAATTATAATCCCTAACCAATTAGTCAAGAGTGTGAGCCCTCGCACTGGTCCTCTCCTGCCTCCAGCCACCCTCATTATATAGCCCTTCCATTGGCTTTGCCTCTCATTTCGTCATCCATTAGTTTGAGTTATCCCGCTTACTAACTAATTAGCCCACCATTCCCAAGTGCTATCCCTTCCACTGACCCTATCCGACCAGCTTCTGCTACTAGCCATGTCACTGGCCCTAACCCCTTAGCCCCCTACCTCCGGAGATTTGCGAGTGCGTAGGCCACAACTGGATTGAGAGGGGGGGGGGGCTTTAACACGCGTCTCCAGCTGGTATGACCTTTTGTGCTACCTTGGTAGGGGGACCATTGGCCACAATCCAGGCTACATTGTCGCTTGAGGGAGGGCTGTATTTTACTGGGAGAATAATAGCTTTGCTAATCGATGTTTAAATCTAATTGCCTCAGAAACGTATAACAAAGCAATACGTAAAGGTTAAACACACGGTAATTCATTGAAGTAACGAACAGACCTAAATGTCCGTCCGCAGAAAAAAAATGTTTGTCCATTGACCTGATGTTCTCTCGTATTTGTTTACAAGAATCCCTCCACCACTTTCGACCTTCAAGTTCTCATCAATAGTCGAGCATTATATTTAATTTTCCTACATTGTTATTGCCAAGAACTACTCGTATAAAATAATTTTGAATGCTGCATGATTTATATGCTTAACTATATATTGAGAAATCTGCCAATTCATTGAACTGCAGTGAACGTCTTTCCTTTTTAACGGGCGCATTGTCTGTTTTGTTTGACTTGGCTTCTTTAGCCATATTTTATTTTGTGCCGTGTTTGCAGTTTGTGAGTCTGACAAGTGGAAGCTGTGTGCGGTGGTTGGAGGTCTCCTGAGGTGATTTCGGGGAGCTCCCTGCCAGCGTCCTCACGGGAGGCCGGCGCGTTCTGGAAACGCGACCGCTCCTCTTGACATTTGGACGCACAACAAAAGACGACTGCTGCGGGAAGAGTTCTCCAGCTTTCGAACTTCAAAAAAAAAACCTCAATTTCTCATAATTTCTGAATTCTTCGAACTCTGATTTTTAAAGAGTCGGAGTGCCGACAATTTCTTTGCGTTTTTATTTTTAAAGAAAATTCAATATAGAGTATATAATTTCGAAGATTTTTCTTTTCGTTATTTATATGAACTTGTGAAGATTCTTGACGGGACTGCTGTTTGGGGCCGCGAGTGGAGGGACGAGCAGCAGCTTTGCGACCAAGATTGAACTTCTTAAAGGGCGGAAACGATGGCTGCCACACGCACAGAAAACGGTGTTGCCGTGGGCATGGGCGGCCAGATGAGGTCCTCGACAGGGCCCAACATGCTCCGAGTGAACGCGCCCACTATGATGTCTCAGTCCAAGGGCCCGATGCCCATGTCT